TATAGATATTAACTTTTCTTAAAATCCTTGTATTAATTAAGAATTTCATTAAAAACCATTTTTCGTTGATATCTTTCTTTTCAAATTATATATCTTAATTAAATTATTATTTTATTATATTTATAAATATAAATTATCAATGTAATTTGTTTCAAAATATATTCCTAAAGCAAGTTATATTAGAAAAAATATATGTTTACTGTTTTATTTATTATATTATGATATAGCAAGATGTTTATATTTGCAATTATCAAGCAGTAAATCGTTTCGAAAAAATTAAATAATAAAATATTTCCATTAGATCGATTATTAATCGTATATTCAAATATACAATGCCCGATCAAAAAATAAATAGATTTTTTTATTTATTTAGATTGCTTTTCCAAAAAATTATTAACAATATCTTATTTTATTTAATAATGGTTTCAAAACAGAGACGCTGGCAGCAAAAATGAAAATTATTGATTTAAATTTGAATAATAAGAAAAAATCGTATTGTATGAATATATGTTATATGAATTTTTTTCATTCATTATTGTATGAATGAAAAATAAATATTCAATTTATGAAATTATTAAGAAAAAAAAATTAATTCATAATTCCATTGTTAGTATATTTTAAAATATTAAAATTATTAAAATATTAAAGTTATAATACAATGATTAATGAAGTAGAAAATTGAATTTTGAATATAAGATATGAATAAAAAATATATAATTGATAGTAACATGTTACATAAAAAAATATGTTTATACAAAAACAAAAGAATAATTGTATTGAAAGTAATACAAAATCTAATTTAAAAAGTAAAAAAATATTTAAAAAAAAAAAGACCATTTAAGATTTTATTAATAATAAACAATGTGTTTAAAATTATCTTAAATTTTTTCGGAATTAATATAAAAATATAATCGAAATTGTATTCTTAGTTTCTATAATACAATCAATTACTTTAACTCTTAATTAATATATTAAATGTATCAAAGTCATTAATATTAAATATTAGCACAATATATAATATATTAATATTTGATTATATGTTATTAGCATTTGTTTATAATAAATCCGAATTTATATTTAACACAATATTAAGAATTACTGATGCAATAGCATTTATTAAAACTGTTATAAAACTGTTATATATGATATAAAACCTATCATAAATTTCTGTTAAAAGAATTTATAAAGAAATCTAATAGTGATGATTTTAAAGGATTTTCGAAATCTGCAATGATTTTTGGAAAATACAAGTTTATACATTACGATAAAAAATATTGTTTCTAATCATTTTTTTTAAATCAATTCCAAGATCATTGATACTTTTTTTAAATGAAACTTTATTATAATATAATTATAATATAACTTTATTTATAAGATTCCATATAATTCTCATCATGATTTTTAAATAGTTCTAATAATAATAAAAATCTTTTTTTCTTTCTTCCTTTTCTTCCTTTCTTTTTCTTTGTATCTCTGTTTCTAATAACAAAAATTAATTTTTTCATTTTTAGGTGTATTTTTACTTTATTGCTTATTATTTATTGCGTATTATTATTTTATAGCGTCAAGATGAATTCAATAATCCAGTATGATCTTGATGTAATGATTATGATCTTGAAGTGATTTTAGATTCAGAAACACGAAGTTATAATTTTCATTTTTTATATTAAATGTTTTTTTATATCAAATCATAACAAAAAACTCAACAATTACAAACGTATTACAAAAAAAGTATAAATAAAATAAAAATCAACATACCTTGTATTACGTTGTTTTTAACATTAACGTCTCCGTTTTAGATTTCATATTTCTGAATCCAAGGTTATCTCAAGATCATAGTATACAAGGTCATTGAACTTGTCTTAACATCAGCTAGATTGCTGTGAAAAATATATGATGCTATTTAAAAAACTCAAGTTGACTTTAATATTTTATCGAAAACAAAATTTTTTGGAAATTTTTATTAAAATTCATCTTTGAAAATCTCACACATTTGAAAATTGTGTTGAAAATACTTTTTTCACAGATTATGTTGAAAATTTATTTTATAAATTTTTTTTTACAGAAGTGTTTGAAAAATCGCAATAACGATTACGTAGGACACCCTATATACAAGATAAATATTTTGTATGAAAATTATATAATTTCAGGAGAAAAATAATTTATAATAATATATAATTTATAATTTATAAATAATAAATTTATAAATAAACAATTTATAAATAAACAGATGAAAAACATTTAAAAATCAAATATGTTTTTTTGAATGAAATATTTTTTAATATCTTAATTGAACTATATCATTTAGAAAATCATTATCTACAAAAAAACTAATTATTTTAAAAAATTATTTGTTAAAAAAGTTTTTAATCTAAGTAATTTTAAGTATTATTTAATTTCACTATATAATAATAATGATATCATATGCTTAAATATTTTTTAAGAAAATTTTTTAATTTGAACATTATAAAATGCTACTCAATTTTTGTAAATATATATTTGACATCTACATGTACAATTATTATATGCTTACACTTACTTTATTGATAGCCTGCAAATTTTTTTTAAATATTTAAAACAGCATGTTACATATCAAATGAAATCATTAATTATGCTTTTAATGTTGGATAAATATAGCAAAAATCGAATAATATCGCAAAACATGTTTAAACAATGATCTTATGCTATAGTCAACGAAAATACGATCATCAAAATAGTTTTCGAAGCATTTGATTGATAACGGATGTTTATAATTGTAGCTACTTGTCTTTAAAAAATTTTAATAGTATGATAATTGAATTTGCTTTAATCTATAAAGATATAGGATTTTATTAAAAAAATTTCGATTATTTTAAAATCTCTTTGAGAAAAAAAAAAGATAATTTAAAAAGTTTTGATCATTGTAATATATTTTTCTTCAAATTGTATAACTTTGTTTCATATAATTTTTTACACAATGCAAATAATAAAATTCACATTTATTTACTATAGTTTATCTTGTATAATGAAATATACAGAGTGTCCTATTTTAATCTTAGCATATAAATATTTTAGAAGATATAAAAAGCACGAAGAAATATTTCAGACAAAAGTCGTAGTATATCAAACACGAATACTAATATTTGACCTAACAATGATCTTGAAAAAGTGAAGGTAAATTTCAATATTTTTTTGTTAAAAACTATATTTTTTATTTTTATAACTGGCATCAAAATATTTTCAAAGCTTTAACTTGTGACTTTTCTATAAGATAATTTTATTGACATTCATAAGATTATAATAAGAAAACAATTTAAGGAATTTAAATTATTTTCAGAAATGTAATTAAATAACATGTATCTTTTTATTGTACCAGAAGATTTAAATATTTTATTCTCTTTCTTTCTCTTTTTACAATTTATAAGCATTTCGCATTTCATTATGAATATTAATAGATGTCTCAAATTCTATTCATTATACACTACATAGAAATTGATATATTTTTGTCAATGAATTTATTAAAGAATTAATTAAAATTTTCTTTTTATATATTGTTTTCAAATAGTTCTAATTTTAATAATTGAGGTTATATTGTTAATTTTTTAATAATTAAAGCATTGTCATAAATTTTATTGTAGATCAAATTAAAATCTATTTTATATAGTAGTATTAATATAGAAAATAAGAAAATCATTAAAATTAATGATTTTTTAACATATGAGATCAATTTTGGTATGAATTAATAAATGAGTAGAATCATACTTAAATCATATTTTTTAAATATACATACTTTTTAAAATTATTTTTTAATATTATTTATAGAAATATAAAATATTTGATCTAGAAATAATTTATATTAAGTTTAAGTCTAGAGTTTTTCAATTTTAAGCATTTATATATATCTTGAAAAAATTTAAGTAATATTTTGAAAATTTTTTGATGCAGCAAAAAATAAATATTTAATAGTTATCAAATAAGAAACATTATAAAAAAAAGTTTTCAATGCTTATAACACAGACAAAATATAATTTAATTTTTTTCTATCTATTCTACTATCAAAATATAAAAAATAAAGATTTATATTGATAATTTTGATACAATAAAATCAGATAATAAAAAATGATACAGTAAATAAAAATATATGATAAAACCATAAATGTAATAATTTCATGGAAAAAATTAAATTAAATGTGATAAAATATTATATAATAAAAATATATTTTAATGACAACTTATATAAATATTGGAAGAAAGTCATATATTACATTCACAAAAAAAATCACATTCAATATATTTTTTAGAATTATATTAAATTTATATATCATTTAAAAGAAAATAATATTTAACAAATAAATTACATATAATATTACAATTTGATTTTATAATATAAATATCATTATATTATATTATTTAAATAAATAGATTTAATAAATATTGTTTTGAAATAAATTCTGAGAGGATTTAAAAGAAAATAATCTTTTAAGAAAATTTGACTTAATGAAATTATTAGGATAATAAAATAATAATTGAAAATAATAAATGCTTTATAATAAAACTAAAAAAGAACTTTGTATATAATAGAAAAGAATTCTTTTATTATATTTTAATATAATATCAAGATAAATGAATTTTTTTAATACTGACTATTATTATTATTTTATAATATTTATTAAAATTATATTTTTATAATTAAATAAACTTGTTTTAAATTTGCTAAATTTTTTGAAATTTTATATATAATTTTATATAATATATCTTAAATTATTTGAATATTTTAAAAATCAACTATATAAAATATTATCATTTTTTTCGAGATGTAATGAATTATTATTAATTTTGAAAAAAATCAATGATTGTGATTGCATTTTTTATATGATTTATATATATTCATTCTTTTTTGGCAATATCAATTTTTATATAAAAAAAAAAATTCAAAGAATTTCAAAATTTTTTAATTTTGGGTTTTAAAAATGAAAAAAATCAAGTTAATTAAAAAATAAAAATTCTAAGATATCTATGATTATTATGAGAAATAATTAAGATTTTCTCATAATCTTAACTTTAACTTTCAGTGTAGAAACAAATATAAAGACATGATATTTTAAAAAAATAAAATTTGTGGTAGATTTATATAAAATTCATAATATTTTGAATTTATCTCTGAAATAAATTTTGTATATTTTATAATGCTATATATTTTTTATATTTTCTATAAACTATAAGATTAGATCAAACTATAATTTCTTACATGTACAGTTGATGATTCCGTATTAGATATAGACAATGACTGCTCTGCATTTGATTGATCTATTTGTGATTGTTCTGGTTGCTGTTCTTGTAATTGTTGCTGTGATTGTATTTGTTGAGATTGTGACAAATGCTTTGTATGTGATGTATTAATTCCATGTCTACGTTTCATATGTTTATTATAGTTTGGCCAATTTGTGAAATGGTGTTGACATTCTAAGCAACTATATGGACGTTCACCAGTATGTTGTCTTCTATGTGTCTAAACATAAATTTTTAAATAATATTATTTTATGTTTTAAAAACAAATAATTTATCAATTAATCAATAATAAATTCATTTATTGAATTAATTATTATATTAACTTACAGTTAATATTCCTTTAAAGCGAAAACATTTACCACAAAATTCACATGTAAATGGCATTGCACCAGTATGTATTCTATGGTGCTCTCTTAATGTACCTTTTTCTCTAAAAGTTCTTCCACATACAGCACACTGATGTGGTTTTGCTCCTGTATGAACTGTTTCATGCTTTTTTAATTGCAATGGCGTTTTAAAACTGAAAATTACATTAAATAGAATTAAAACTAAGTAAATATATAATAAATTATTTTATTTTTTTAGTAAACATACGCTTTTGAACATTGGGTACAACTATATGGTTTGTCTGCTGAATGAGTTAAAAAATGAGCTTCTAAATTTCCTTTTTGAATAAAACTTTTACCACATTGATCACATGTAAAATTTCTAACACCAGAATGGATACGTTTATGTGTGACTAAATTTGGCTTTGTTGAAAATCTGAAAAACTTCTTTGATTACTTGCATATTTATACTTTATTTATAATAATCAAATATTATATAATATTATATAATATTATATAATATTATCTTTAATAATTATATTTTGATTTTGAATTTATTAAAAACCTATTAAAGTAATTATATTTTTATTATAGTTTATACCACAAAGATAAATAATATTAAAGGAACCATGTGTTGTAACTTAACTTTTTGAAAAAAAATTGTTTGAAAAAAAATTAATTATTTAAGATTTAATTAGTTTGTAGAGTAACTTTATTTATGTTTATTTTTTATTACAATTTTTTCTTTAAAAAACAGCTAAATATGTAATGTATACAATTTGTTTATATTTATACAACAATTTATAATAAAGTTACACTTAAAAAAAAATATATATAAAATCAAACAATTTTTTTTTTCAAGAATTTTTTTTTTGATATTTTAAGATAATAATTTTTTTTTTAATGCATTTTTATTCAAATTTATCAGACTTTATTAATATTTTAATTTTTGTTTTTCTATCTTACGAAATTTTAATTTCAAATATATTTTTTTCTCTCATTTAATGCAACAATTAAATATCTTGACTTTATATTATTGACTTTTTCATCATCATATAAAGATGATATCTTAATATAAAATGTATAATATAAAAATTCTTTTTAAAAATTACATTCGTTTTTTTTATAAATTTTATATAAACATTATATAAAATTATTACAATTTTTATCAATTATAAATTATTATATATATTATATATATTATAGGTAAAATTTATTTACCTGATTTTATTATTCGATGATATAAGATAAATCATATATAAAATGGATAAGTCATTTTCTTCAAAATCTACAAATATAGATTTGTTTTTTTTAAATTAAATAAAATAAATTTTCATCATTTTGTATAAATCTGAAAGAGAGGATTCCTAAAGGGACAAAAAATCCGCACTCTTTTTTAAAAATAAAATATTAATTACCATATTAATTTTCTGTTATTTTAATTATAATTATCAATTTTAATAACATTTTAGTTAAGTTGTGAAACATGGTTCTTTTAATGCTTTTTATCCCTGTAATGAATATAAGAAAATATAAAATATCTTGAACTAAATATCTTTTTTTTTGTTTTGTTTTTAATGATATAAAAATGATCTAATTTAAATGATTGTAAAAGAAAAATATTGCAGAAAAAAAATTTTTTTAAGAAATTTTTTTAAAGAATTTTTTTACTTTTTTTATAATTATAAAATGAAAAAATTACATAAAAATACATTTACCTAAAATGATCTTTAAATGATTTTGAATATTTGAAAAATGATTCAATCAATATAATAGTTAATATATATATATATATATATATATCTCATTCAATGATTTATGATTTTCTTATTTAATATAGCAAAACAGAGATAGAATGAAATAGTTCTATTTTCATCATACTATTACCTTGTTCTGTCTCCATTTTACTCTAACGCAAACTTATAACTTAATAAAACCAATATTTTTATATATATAATTTTTGCATTTGTTCTCTCTCTCTC